GTCATGCTTCTTAAATCTCTAGGAACTCAAATAATCCTTCAGAGGTACCCAGTGTAGTAATGTGTCATAGAATTAGCACTAAAAAGGTCCAAAGATATAAACATCATACTAAAAGAAAGTCTTTATGAAGAATAAACACAAATGATTAAAAAAAGATTCAGAAATCACAGATTTAAGGAAAATATTTTGTTGAATTCAACAATAATATCATGATTTTATCTGACAAATATATTCTTTTTTAAATTTTTATGTACATTTAAAAAGTCTATTAGATAAAAAGGAGGTTAGAGAGCTCAAGGTGTTTGTATGTTTATTCAGGTAGTACTTTGTTTATTGTCATTGCTGTTTTCCTTGCCACCACTGGTGGATCCTAATTCCCTTTTCATAAATTCTGGTGGCACTTAGGAGTTCAAGTCTGTAGGTGCTTCTTGTAGCTCTTCTATTCACTGCAGGAAGGACCCAGGAAATCAAGTGTCTTCTAGCAGCACTTCATATATACTGAAGGCCAGTGCTGTTCTCTCAGTCTGTCACCTCCCTCATAAGGGAGAAATGTCTATCACACTTGGATGCCAGTGCCGTGTAAATGTAGCATTTGTGCTCTCATAGTCTGAATGCTGCTCATGATTTTCTTTTGATGACCAACCAACGTGATCCCTAAACTCATCACATCCCTGGGGAAGATAAATGCGTACATTGTTAATTTTTCAACTTAGACTGCTATTGTATGGTATTCAACTGTGAGTCAAAGCTACGCAGTGGTCTGGGCTACAGGTGCCTGACATTGTAGCTGTGCTGGAATCTCAGCTCAGTACTGTGAAGTTCATATACGCACTGGTCAACCTCTCAGCCAGGAGTGCAATTACACGGCAAGTGTCACGTAATTACACTGCCTGTCTCCACTTCTGAGAAGGAGGCCAGTATGTTTTGCATTACGATAATCTTTCATTGTGGCTTTCAAGGACATCCGAAGACAAAGGCACTTCTGTTATAAAATCCTTTGGGTGGCTTTCAGGACAATGTATAAATACAAGATTTTAGGGATCATATGCTGTTTCCTAAAGAGATGCCTAGAGAAAGCCTTTGCATATTGACCCATACCCATCATGCAAGTAAAAGAGGAGCAGTTGTTTAAACTCCACCACTACTAGTGCTAGAAGCTTGTGGGCTCTGATGACAGTTCACAAGCTATAGGCTGTGACCCCTAGTGACACCAGGCAGATAAGAATAGGGTTGCAAACTTGAGAATTATTGGTTAGAAACTTGTTTAGAAAACCACTGCTCTCTGTAAAAGGAATTACATATGTTTGGCAACCATGAGTTCGGTTGCCAAGAAAGTTGTTCGCAAGGTCCCAAGAAGACCTGTTTAAGACGGTAGTACTGATACAGGCCATGCTTGCCTTCAGAAAATTGTTTTGCTTCTACAGACTTGATGCAAATTCCTTGCTTGCAGGACACAGACAGCCCCCAGCCAATCAGAAGAAAATTCCACATCTTCCTATTACACATCTGGAAAATGGTACCAATTAGGTAGTAGAGGCAAAGTGGCTATTTTCCTATACATACAAATACTTTGAAATGGGCCACATTCTCCCTCAAATTCCAGTCCCTTGGTGTTACTTCAATTGTTCTGAAAAGCACAGAAACATGTGATGCCACACAGAGGTAACAGGGTATTTGCCCTTTCGTCAGATGATCTAGTATAACATCGTCAGCTGCTAAAATGGCTGGTTTGACCCCAGGTACCATGTTTGTACTCAGGGTAAAGTTTTGGAGTTGAACGTTGTTTATTATTTTACCTAGAAATTCCCTAAATGCAAGTTAAACATGCCCAGTACTAACTTACTCAATAGTCATCCTGGCAACTGATTCAAGAGAGTTGTAGCCTGCTGCTGTGAAATTATCCTTATATCTTTCCATCTTAATAGCTTGTAACCATTCGCCTACGGAGCAGAAAGTGGTAAAATCGGGAGTGTTCTGGTCCAGAAGAGGGCTAATTGGTCTACGGAGAAGGAAAAAGGAAAGTAAGTTGTTTCCAAAGAGAGTAAAACATCAGGGAGCATTTAGCAAGGTGAGAGTCAAATAAGTTTGGGGTATTAAAAATATCAAGAGTAGAAAGTAATAGGCCTTTATACACAGTTTAGATTATTCTGTGAATAGCTCTTGACTACTCTGTAGCTCACAATATGTACTTCCCAAGCTTATTCACGTAAAAGATGAAAGGTCAGAGTGAGCAAAATCAGCCTAATGGACTACTGTTACCAACAGAAAATCAACCTTATTACCTAGCATGACAGCAGCTACAACTAAGTTGCTGAGTAAAATAAAGATGCCACTCTTTTACTCATTTTAGAAAATATAGGGGTGGCTATTCCCATTATTCAATCGGATGGGACAAAACAAAGACAAGGAAAGAGCAGAGACACAAAGTAAGTTGTTTAAGGTCACACAGCAAATCAGTCAGTAGAAGAATCAGGAGCAGAACTAAGGCCAGTTGATTCCCTAATGCAGTGATCTAGCTAGCAGATCAAAAGATTGTCACAATGAAATAATTCACCTGAAATTTATGAAGAAGCCATTGAAAACTACACCATGAAATACAATGAGATGCAACCACTGAAAGGAGTTAAAGTCAGAAAATGCTAGAGTGTAGCATGTCAAAGTACACTGGCCAAGCATGAGTATTGTTAATTACTTTTTCTACCGTGGCCATTCCTAGGGCAAAGGATGCATCACATAAAACTACAATAGACAATGATCCTTGCTCTCTAGACTTTACAATCTTAAGAAAAAAAGAAAACAAAGACTGCAAGTGGTAAGAGTGTGGAAAGAGTGATGAGCAGGCAGTAGTTTACAGAGAAATGTGGTTAATTCCATGATATTTACTTTATTCTGGTTGTTTTTTTTGTTTTAAGAAAGTCCTTTTTGGCTTTGTTCAGTATGGTAAAAAAGAAGGGCAAATGAAGGAAGGGAAGAACAGGGAACAGAAAGAAGGAACTGAGAGACAGATGAAATAAGTGTGAACTGGAACCAGCCACCAAGCAGAACATCCAGAACCTAGCCACATGCACCACCATAAGAACACACACTAAAGCTTTTCTTACCTGCTACAGGTTCCCAGTGGGGTTTTCAAGCTGTTTGGATTTCTAATCATTTTGTCCAGAATACCAACTATCTGCTCAAACTTTGGCCTTTCGCCACGTTCCTTCTGCCAACAATCCAGCATCAGCTGGTGCAGTCCTGCTGGGCAATCCATGGGTGCTGGCAAACGATAGCCTTCTTCAATTGCTTTTATAACCTAGTAGTCAACATAGTTAATTATTTTTCATCAACAGTCATTTAAAGAATACATATTGCTACCCAGCTCAAAAAAATAAGAAATTTTTTTTTTTTTTTTAAATCAATAAACTAAAATTTGCCATCAGCGTTGCAAAGATTTGAGTCCGTTGTTTTCACAACAGCCTTCAGGTTTTCAAGTAACTTCCCCAGCTTTATCTTTGGGCTTATTAAGCATATTGTTCTATATGTGCAGAACATAGCTAAATTAACTAGACAAGTGAGTAGCAGGGAACAACAATTAAATTCACCAAGGGAGTAACAGATAGAGTGATAAATGGACTTATTTCAGAAAACGTTATTACTTGCCCCAAGGCTTTTATGAAAGTGTGTGGTAGAAGCAACTGAGTTTTAAATGGATAAGAGATCTGTGCATGCACATATAAAATACAAAAAGCCTGAAGGTATTATAAAAGGATCCAAGAAAAGTGTTTAGCAGATAGAAATTGGTAGGGACAAAAGTTATATTCTATGTCTAGCCATGTTATATTAACGATAAAGTAGCAGAACTGTGTCATGTGAGAGAGAAAGATCTGGGTGAATGGTATTTTAATATACCGCAGAAAGTTAGATTTAATAAGAGATGCCGCTAGATGATGATATGATCGAAGGAGAGCATAAATGTCTAAACCAAGAATTACATCCACCTGTTGACTTCCTCAGCCAAGTCCATTTAGATTTAAGAAAAAATAAAAACAGATGAAGTAAAATCACAGCAAACTGCTGTAAACCTTGAGGGCAGAATAAGAAAGCACATCAGGAAGCAAGGCAGATAAGAAAAGCTAGTGAAAAAGGACTAAAATACTGTTCATGGGGGATTTCAAGTATACTGACATTGACTGACACGGCAGCATTAGAATTGCTAAGGAAGGGTGCTCGTTCCTGAAGGGTAGTGCATAGGACTGTCTTCTCCCCTGGTTTGTACAGAAAGCAAGATCAGAAGCTGTTCTGGGTGTAGTTCTAGGAAGCAGATCTGATACGATAAACAAAGTTACTGAATATCCAGGTTTTAGTAAAAGTAATAACCTCAGAAAAAAAATACTCCATAGGTTGTGTGAGAAAATCTAAAAGCAGTAGACTGCACAGTAGACAGAACTGCAGACAATATAAAACGACCTTCAAAAAGCTGACTGAAATCCAGCCAGGTTTTGTATCAAAACCTTTTGCATAAAAGAAGTTTTGTGAAAAGATAAGGCATAACCCAGTGGTAGGGCACTGACTGCAGGTTTGTGTCACAGAATGTCCTTCTGACCTCAGGGAAGTTGCCTCATCTTCCTAGGACACGGCTTTTTCTCTGAACATTTAGAATGACAGTACTGTCCTACAGCTCAAAAATGACTGAGAAATATTCAACTCCTGCAGAAATATCCACACCTTGAAGAATGAGTGCGGTGACCTTTTAGAAGGTGAAGTTGTCTGTCAGAGAGGGTGTGGAGAGAGGTTTTCTGCAGAAGAACAGGGAAATCGAAAGAATAGAGCTATATAGGAAAGAAAACATTAAAAGTAAAACGTAAGATTCTTTAGAGCTATATGAAGATGAAAACCAAAATAACAGCTCCTTACGCTTAGAAGTAGCAGTGGAATAAAAGTGAAAAATAAGCTACAGTATGTACAGGATGACTGGTGTGCTGTGAAAAGTACTGCAGAAATTTCTGACCTTCTAAAAGGCAAAAGGTATTAAACCCTTCAAGCGTGCTACATATGGTTTAGCACCAATGAACTAATTGCCTAAGAGGTCAGAAGACAGAGATCACCAGTGAGGAATGGAAAAGATAGGTAACAGCAACAGCAACACAGCCATCAAAATATCTAAGACTGGTAAACCATCTACATAAAACTATATCCTAGAATGTAAGGGACAGTGAAGACATGAATGAAAGGATCACAGACAGGAGTTTTTCCCATTCACTACAATCTGCAGAGAAACCTGAAGAGAAGTGGAAATCAAGATGATATCATTTTTGAAAGGCTTTGATGATACTGCAGAATCAGCTTCTCTGATGAGTATTCTTGAGAAACTCGGAAATATAAAATAATGAGTCAGCTAGAGATGGATGAAATTTCTGATAATATTCAAAACACTGAAAAAATATTTTAAAATATTGATAAGTAAAGTAGGACAAGAGTCCACTCTGCTAAAAAGGAGCCAGAGGTGTCCAAAAATCAGTACTCAAAGATAATGAAATAGATGCAGGACTTTTTTTTTTTTTTTTTTTTTTTTTAATAAGCAAATCTACAAAGAGAACACAGCTGGAGTTCTTACTAATAGAATTGATTTATACTATTTACATTTCCCACAATTCGTTTTTGAAATTCTGCTTTTACTGCAAAAAGAGAATACTGCTAAGACTCAAGTATACTTTTATCATAATCAGGCTATCTGAGGATGTAAAGCAGAATAGAAGAGGTCTGTTCACTTTATATACCAGATACCAATAAAGAAGTACTAAATATGGGTAACTGGACAATGTAATGTTAGAACTCTGTTTTTGGGTATATAATAATAATGAAAATTATAACAATGGTAATAAATCCAGGAGTACAGCAAAGAAAAAATATATAAGCCTAAATTCTTTCCCTTTTCTGAAGAACTAATCTGTACTGGAGTCAGTAAGCGAATGAAAGCAAGAACACCATATGTCTAATGGGAAATAGGGGTTTGAGGCCTAGCAGCAAGGATAAAGCTGAGGTGAGCCCACTGCTCAGAGAAGCTGGGACAACTCTATTATCTGTGGTCAGCCTGCTGTGCCTCTGCAGGGAGCTTGTAGGATGAGTGTTCTTTCGGTGCATCCTAGCTCTAGGTCATTGCTAAAAGAAGAACTTGTTCTTGAGAGATCACAAAACAAATTTGTATTCTCCATCAATCTAAAGCGATGACTTAAAAGGAAGAAAGGCAGAATTAAAGAAATGTTATTTAAGGTCTAAAGTCAGTGAGATGTATTTTTTTAGGAGATCTGGTCTGGTCTATGACTATGCCCACATCCACTTTTAAGGCAAAATGATATACTCAAGATATATAAACTGAATCCATATGCAAAATTAGAAGCACACATTTAGCATTTTTTTTTTCCAGTTAAATATTCCCACTGGTAACTTTGAAGGAGAATAAATAATAAATCATAAGGGGATTCTAAATTTTTGCATCATAGATTAATCTATGAGATTGGTAGGATGTGCATAGGCTTTGGGAGGACATGCTTGAAGATCACAGCTTACAGGAATATTTCAAAGTATTTTACCAAGCAACTGATGCATCTTTTAACTATGTACTATTGAAGATTATCATGAAAGCTGCTAAAAATGGATGAAAGAAGTTGCAATTAGCTATTTTTTGAAAAAGGTTCAGTCATGTGCTTTACATGCAATTTTCAATAGAAGGAATACTTTTCAAAATCCAACAACGAGCATGGAAATACCAAAATTTCTCCCCTGTTTAAAAGTTTTTCCTTATTGATGCCTGAAAGATAGGTAAGGTTTGCCTTTGAGGCATCTTATATTCCTGTCAGACTTCTTTTATGTTTGAATCTAGTACAGAAGGAAGGTGTCAAAAGAAATGAAACTCTACAGGGTGTCTAGGGAATGTAAATATTTCTCTTCCTCTACCCCAAGGACTTGTTTGCCCATATTTTGACAGTCCATGAAATCTTTGACACTGAGACCTGTCAAATATTAACAACTTTGCACTGTGCCAAACTGACTCATTTACACTTTTATCTTTTTTTTTTTAAACTTTGGTGTTGATAATTCAATAAAAAATTAAAATAACAATTAAAAGAACACTCATGCCCCCACATGAAGAACTTTAATTGATACTCTTTCTGACAACTTTTGCACCTGTACGGGTTTTTCCTGTGTAATTTCTATATTAATAGATACTCCTGTCAGAAATCAAGATTAACACCCACCTGTTCTATTACTGCTGACCTGTTGCTCTGGATCATATTTTATGCAAACAAGAGTATGGTTAAATCAGCATAATTAACTTGAAAAAGCCAAAGTAGGTCATTAACTGCCATTCAGACTTTTAACAACTTTTTTTGACTGATTAATCATTGCTCTAAGGTCAGAAACCTTAGAATTACTTTTTATTGGAAAAAAAATTCATTCTTTCCATGCTTAAGCATAATAAAGTGAAGAGTACCTATTAATGATCCAGTTTTATGTGATACTCAGAACAGAAACCTACAATATCCATGTGGCACAGGAAAGATTTCGATGTAGGTAAAAAGTGAAAGCTCTGCAACTTTTTCATTTTGTGAGAACCATACCAACATTTTTTGCATTTATAGTGAAATACATGCGTATGTGTTTGCAATAAGTAATTTTTGTTTTAGTAACACACTAACACACACACACATTCACAAGCAGACAAACCTACATCTTGATTTGACATGTCCCAGTAAGGCCGTTCTCCATATGACATTACTTCCCACATAACTATCCCATAACTCCACACATCACTGGCTGATGTAAATTTGCGGTACTGAATGGCCTCTGGAGCCGTCCATCTCACTGGAATTTTTCCACCCTATGAAAAAAAGCCAACAAAAAACAACCAAAAAAAAAAAAAAAAAAAAAAAAAAAAAAAAAAAAAAAAAAAAAAAAAGGAAGAAGAAGGTTCTCTTTTTTTTTTTTTTTCTCCCCAAATTTTTGTATCATCTTCAATAGAATGTGTTTATTTCCATCAACATCAAAAGCAGCACTTATATCATCGACTATGGTTGACCAATTACAGAATTTGCAAGGCTCTTTAAGGAAGTTTAGCCTCTTAAAACACTTGGAACATGAAAACTCAGATAATTGTCTAAGCTAAGTTGGATGTATTTCTTTGGAAGAGCTTATCCCTTCATCGATGCTAAAGGGGTGCTTGGATGTCTGATTTACACTATTCATTTAACTCCTGACTGGTTGAAGGTAGGTGAAGTGAATCTCAACTTGTGCATATAAATCCCACTGACTTGTCATATGGCTACTCTGAAATCTCAGTCTGACATTTTTAAACCAGGATTCCACTTAGAGCCCAATGGCAGGACTGACAGCTGTGAACACTGGTGTGGTTTCCTGGATCCCTGTGCCTGCTGGAGCAGATTCCAGGGGCCCCTCCTTCCCTCAGCATGAGAAAATAGGTACAGTGAGGCCCCACGGGTGGGAAAGTGGAGCTGGTTCAACAAAGGAATAAAGAGCACAGTGTGCCTGATGACTATGTATTTAAGAAAAGCGTCCCACCCACAAGCAAGTGAAAATATAGGAGTTGAGCTTTGTCACAGTCTAGCCTCAAGCTAGTCAAGTTTTTGGGGAGATAAATCTAGTCTGAAAAACAGTAATAGCATACAAAGATTTTAACTGACTCACAGTAAATTAGATGATTAAGATTTTTGTGGGTAAAACTTCCTTATTTGTTCAAACAGAAAATCCTGAGGAAAGCAATAATGAAAATACTGTATAAAATGTATAAAACTTTAACAGATACAAATGTATGTTCTTACAAAAATATTATTTCCTAATTACAGTCCTATTTCTGCAGAGACTCTTCCTTTTGACTGGTTAACATTTCCCAAGCAATTAATGTATTTCTCTTATCTATACTCTCTAGAAGATATGCTGCTTCTTAATAACCACATCTCAAAACTCTGAAAACCCATCAATTTTTCTTACGGTTGTAGTGTAGACAGCCTCTGGATCATCTTCTATAACTCTGGAAAGGCCAAAGTCTGATACTTTACAAACAAGATTGCTGTTGACAAGAATATTGCGTGCTGCAAGATCCCTGTGTACATATCCCATATCGGCCAAATATCTCATTCCGGCAGCAATTCCTCTCAACATTCCCACTAGTTGAATGACTGTAAATTGCCCATCATGTTTCTGGAGGGAAGAAAGGAGCAGCAATTCTTGTTAGTATGACTGAGAAGAGAAATAAGAATTAGTTTTACAACTTCAGCTTTCTACTTCTTTACTCTTTCTGTGGCAATTCATTCCGGGGAGAAGAAACTTACTTCAAACACAAGTTTTACTTTCTTCTGTCATAAAGCAGTACATCCACTTAAAAAACGTGTGAGTAGTTAATCTATTAATAGTAGCAAAACTTGCTCATCACTATCCATTTTTGTCTAATTCATGGTAAATTGCTTCTAAGGGATTACCTGCTGAAGATTACCTGAAGCTCTTATAGTTTGCTTCTATGCTCTTCATCTTGCAGTATAATTATTTGTATCAAGAAAATAAGTACTATCTCCTTTTTGGAACCTTAGCTACTGTTAATTTTTATTGATAGTTTCGAGTTTATCAAACAATATTTCTGTTCTCTATAGAGTGTTTATACATCATTTCACAATGTCTTGCATAACTGGCAAGTTCAGAACATACTTAAAAAATGATGAATTGTTGGGAACTTGCATTTCTTCTTCCATTGTTTGTCTCTTAAACAGAACCACAGTTCATTTAGGGATTCTTTTATTCTGATTTCCATCATGCTGACACAATAAAATTCTGCACCCAAAATGCAGAAGATTGGGCTTCATGTATCAGTTGTTTTAATTTCAACTGGTGGCAATAATAAAACCCACTGTGTTTATGCCACATTAAATCACATAAATTCCTAGAATGTCTCCATATGATCTTATCTGATCCTCTCATTTTTGATCTAGTTTTCCTGAAATAACACAGAGAACTGCTAGTATTTGTCAAGATCCATTTCAGCCTGAAAACCATTTTAATTATATTAATATTGTGCAGGCATACATGTACATATCACATATACAAACCATACTTTTTAAAAGTGTCATTATGTCACTCTAAATATGTTTATATAACTTCTCATTTTGGTACTCACCCTAAGAAATGCATCTAAGGCCCCATTCTCCATGTATTCTATTACAATCATGACTGGTTTCCCTGAAAGAAAAGAGAAACTGTAAAACAAATGGAGTGCCTTTTTTGATAAAACACACGTTATTCCTTTGCAGGACTGAATCGCTGAGACAAGGAGCATTTCTAAGCCCTCCAGCACTGTTACTGAGCTCTAATTTCTTAAATATCTTAATGGAATGTGGTCATGATTCACAAAATCGAACCATACAAATCAAAAAGTCAGTGTGTCCTCCTACCTCCTCCTGCGTGAACAGGACTCTGGAATAATGACACTTCAGATAATTTGAAAGGACATAAGAAACCTTATCTCTCTGCATGGTCTTTGAGGCTAAATGAAACTAGAAAAATAATATGTTTCAAAGTACTTCATCTTTTAATCATGCGTACATCTAAATTTTTTTTTCCTCAGGTTGTAGCATAAAGTAAGTATTGTTTTAGTTAGTTACGCATCAGGAGAAAATCCATTAGGAGTGTGTAGTCTGTTTATAATTTGAATCTTTGACCATGAATAAGCTTGAGTAATTTCTGCCATGGCGTTATTATTTGACTGACAGATCGAGTTGCTGCTTACCTCTGGTAACGACCCCTTCCAAGTGAACAACGTTAGGATGGTCAAACTGTCCCATGATGCTTGCTTCACACAGGAAATCTCTCCTTTGCTTTTCAGTGTAGCCAACTTTCAGAGTTTTTATGGCTACTGCAACATCTCTCTTGCCAGGAAGTTTTAGACGCCCACTGCACACTTCACCAAACTCTCCTAAAATGAAGTAGATCAATGCTGAATTGCTCTGACTATCAATATTTTCCTTAGGCCTTGATTCAACTCACTGCCTAAGTGTGTGTTTAAATCTTGCATGTGGATGCTCATATTTGAAATGGATTACCTTGAATTTCTGACCCTTTTGGAATAAACACTTCGTGTTAACCCAATCAACAGGACTGCTTTTGAATATTTTAAATTGTTAGCAATTTGTTGCATTTGTTTCAAAATCAGGAAATAAAAATGAAGTGGCTTTCATAAGAAAACACTATTATAGAATTAGTAATACCATTTCTAAGTGAAAATGTATAAGTGAAAATGTCATTCTGCTCTACATTGTTTCCTTGCTATCTTTAGATCAAATGGCTTTTTTTCTTTCAAGAGTCAGCTCTTGCAGATCTGCTTTTAATTTAGCATCGTTATGGTGTTAAATGAAGCACTACATTATTACCTTCAAGCAAGATAATTTACTTTGCAGATTATGAAATGAAAGGTGTGACTTATAACAATTTTGTTACATTAAACAAACACAAGCAAATGCTGCAAGTTTATAAAAGGCTTTAAACTAACAGACAATGGAACTTGAAGAAGCATGTGAGACAAAAGGTGAAACAGTCAGAAAGAATACAAAAAAAAAAAAAGCATCAACAACCAAATTTGGGAAAGAAGTTACTGGACTCCATCAGACAGGAAAGAGGATGGAAACGTGACATGTGGTGCTGAATGACAATACATCTACCTCGATATTAATGAGATTATGAAAGATGTAAGGATTGTCCCTAGCTTCACAGCTACATAAGAAGAGAGAAAAAGTGAGTTATCCAATACTGTAGCCAGGAAGAAAAATATCTTTGTAAATATAGAAGAAAAGGGTAGTAACACATACTGAATAAAGGGGAACATCTCTTCAAAAGAGAAATACTCATTGCAAAAGTATTTAATAATCTTGTACTTTGCAAACTCATCTGCAGTATGGGAGATATAGTTCCAAGGCCCTCCTCCAAAACAAATCAAGTCAGAAACTTATCTCTTGCATACCTGTGTAGTTCTTTAACATTAAGCTGTTATGTACACACAAGTATGCAGACACACCTACATCTAAGACATGTTTTAGGAGGAGTGCTGAAAAAAATAATTGAATGAGGTAAGACACAGAGAGTTTATTAGAGAGTCCTCTTGGGACATAGACTGATGTCTTGAGAAATTTAGTGGGATAAGAACTTAAGTGCACATATACCCTGTCAAGATGTCTGGCTGGCAGGGGAGAGAGGTATGCTTAGAAATGGGTCTGAATGCCTGAAGAGGTGTTGAAGTATCCTAATGGATGGGTTCTGAGAAATCTTGTTTAGGACACTGTCAGTGTTCAAACACTCTGGTTCTCCTGATAGCCCCAAGAGAGAGGTTGGGGAAAGAAAAAAGCAGTACTTGGGTATCAGTTTCAGAGTTCTCCAGTCAGAAAGGTAGAACTTAGACCATGACTTAATATTTCCAACTGACTTGTTTGGACTAATCTCCACTCTATGGTTTGTTTTATGAATCTTATAGGAGGTGACTGCATACAGAATCAAATTCCTCTATGCTGGCTGAATCAAGGTTAGCTGAAATCAACTCCATATACCTCTGTTAATACTGTGCTGTACCTGAGCTAATTGGCCAGACAAGTGTTCCTGCCTGTACATTATCCTCAACTGCCCTTGGGCACTGAAGTCAAGGTCTAAATAGCCATGTCATAGCTATGAATACCATGAGGCATAGCTGTTACATACACAACAACTAGATGCTCATGCCCTTAGCTTGGTGCCTTAACCTCCCTCCTGCACTTCATTAGCAACATGGATGACTATTAATGAACTCATCACTCACCTCACTCATAACCCCTAGCCTCAAGAACTTACTGAAGGATAACAATTTTCTCTAGCAGTTCTTTGAAAATTTTTTTTTTGTCCACACTGAAAACAAGACATGAGCATAAGTGTGTGTCTGTGGTATTTCAGAGCCAGGTAATTAGGATACTTGGCACAGAAGACACTAGGGCTTAACTCCTTTCCAGTTCTCTGTGATCTGATTTTGATTGATTTCCAAAAGTAGATCATGCACACTCCAGCAAACCAGAAACTTGAACTTATATGTTATGCATTTCAGGCCAGGATGTTAGCCAATGAACTACTTTTATTCCCAAGAAAATAGTATATTCAGCTGAAATGATGCCCAAAAATGAACCGGAAAATATGACAACAAGAGTGGGAATACTGCACAGCCACACAGCCACTAGCTCAGCATGTCAACAAGGCAGAGGCTAAAACAAAGGATGTGTGGTATGAACAACTTAACATAGTGGACACCATATTCCGTATCTGACAGGTGGCCACAGCGGGATGGTAATGAAAATGTTGGCAAGGAAAGCACATATCCCTCATGCAAATTAAGCACAAGCACACTTGCACCCTGTTTGTCTGAGAGACATGGCACTACTCAATAGTTGATGCAGCCACCATTGCTGATGCACATTGAGATAGCTAAGTGGCTTTTCTGGTGCTGTCACTAAAAGAAATTCCATATTCTTATTTGATATATGAGTTTCAGCTGCTGCTTTGGGTCTTTAACGTTCTGTTGTTCCTGGACCGAATTTCATTTCATTCCATTTTGCTATTTACATGAACAGGTTAAAGCCATAGCTAAATGCCACACACAATATGCTTTCACCATTGCACTTCTAGTCTGAATGACTACTGACACATGTTAGTTATTTTTGCTATCAGTTATACTCATTAAAATCAAGAATAAATTCAACTGCAGTCAACAAAATAACATTCTGGAATTTGTCATAACAGTGAAAATGCATTTTAAACTGTATACTGTGCAGCTCAAGTGTTTTCAGCATTTTGTTCACAAGGCATTGGCAAAATCCAACAGAATATATCTTTGTGCTCTGAACTGCTGCTATGCTGGTAGCTTTCTAATTCAGAGCAAAAAATAAAACTCCACAATTTGTCTATGCTAATCTTGTATCTTGTGTGTTTATTAGAGGAGATGCTGCCATTCTAGCCTCACAAAAATTCCTAGTTAGCGAGGGCTAAATTCTTATGCTCTTACTCATCCAAAGGAATAATTTGCTCAGCAGTGTGGTTAATTTCAATGCTACTACTCCTTGATTGAGACATGATTCAACATGAGTGGGGTTACTTTGAAAAGGCATGAATTCTAAGTCTAAAGATTTTCTTACAGGTAAAGCAGCCTATTTTAGAGATATTTCTTGTTCTGTTTTTAAATAATACTGCAGTATGTAATTTACAGTGCCAAACTACAGGGTGATTTAGAAAGTATTCTACTAATACTTGTATAAAACAACAGGAAAGCAAATGAACATTTCCTCCAGGAATCCAAAGTATTTGATATTTTTCTTACCCATGGAAACTTAATTTCACTACATGGAGTAGTGCAATAAAAATGTCACATATCTTATTAATGCAAACAAATGAAACTGCCTTTTTAGAGCATGAACACCATGGCTTAAGTAGGTGGTAGACAGCTTAAGAGGAAGAAAAGCAATGTAGCGCTGAAGCAATTACAATCAGTCATAAGAAGTTAAACAATAACTTTTTGTATTCATAAAATATCAAAAAGAAAAATGGTAGAAGAAAAAACAGCCTTAGGGAAGATTTTGCTATACAGAAACAAGACCTTCCTAGTCTCTATTTAAGATTTTGCTGCTGCAGCCAGTTTTCCTTACTCACATGAACGAAGCTTCAGAGGTCAAAAAGCCCTCTTGCAAAAGGTAAGTGAGCAGAATTTGCACAAATGCCTAACGTCTTTACTCTGACAGTAAATAATAGGCAGCAAAACTGGCCCACTCCCCCCAGTTACATTTTTAACAGCAGATACAAGATTAGAAACCAACAAGCTTTCAATGTCAAGCAAGACTTTTAATTTACTCATTTATTTGTTTCTTTTGTTGGGCTTTTCCCCTGTTTGTTTTTTACATTTTAGAAGTGAGTGCAGCTTCACTGCTCTTAACCACTCTAGCAAATGCAAAAAGTTCTTCTATACTTGAGGTATAATTATTTGCCTGTCATTATGATGTATGAGTTTCGATCCCCGCTAAATGGAACAGTTGAATCAGGAAGCCACGGCAGCCTTACCTGCACCAATCACACGTTCAATTTTAATACAAGAGGCATCTAGCTCCTTGGCGAATTGATGGACAGCTCTATTTGGGTCCTCGTAGGTTTCAGGGTCAATGTAGGTTTTGGTGCCTGGAAATTTAACTGTAATGATGTAAGAAAGCATGACTGTGATGAAGCAAAAGCACTTATTGTGCAGTCAGCCCAGGAATTTCATTATGCAGAGTGCTCCTTGGAAGAGTGAACCTGTTTCCACACTGCCTGAGTCAGAGCCGCTCTGAGAAGCAACCTTAGTTTTAGGCATCATCTGCAAGCATGCTGACACAAGTACACAATCCCATCTCTAAAAATGACTATCATCTCCACCTTGAACTAAGTAATAAATATTAAATAGTGCTTAATGGAATAAAATGTAAGGGCTGAGTGGGGATAAAAACAAAGCTGGGAAGGGGGTTCAAGACCAGCAGAGGAGGTGAAAGGTTCTTTTCTGTGTAAGGACAGCTTATCCTTTTGTCCCAGGATGCATAAACAGCATTTCTTCATGTTATTTCTGTCTTCTAGTGAGATTTGAAACATTTCTTCACCTCCTTCAATTTGCCTAAATTACTGAATATAATATTTTTTGCAGATTGTGGCAACAGTCAAAGTATTCACAGCACTTAGAAATTATAACCTTAGGTGTATTTCTTGCAGTATATGAGCATGTTGTAGTCAACCTGTTGTAGTCAATCTCCAAAGGGATAGGAAGGAAAGTGGGCTCTGTGGCACCAATATTTCCCCTCTCAAGCACTTAAGTGAAAAATATGCAGTAAATTGTATTTTGCTTATTTTTTTTTTAGTATAACACTTAGTGCAACCCAGGCAGTACAGTGCTCTGGCCAGCATGCAGTTTTTTCCTTTAGTTTGCTAATGATTCAGGTAAATTATTTTTTGCTCTTTTGCTGAAAGTAGAAACTCCTGGTGATAGTAAAGCAACCCTGAAAATCCATGAATCAAGAAATTTTTATGAAATAAATTTGCTCACAAAGATTATACTCTTGAGCTTTAATTAAATCAGTGAATTAAAATTCAATACCAAAATGCAAAAATATTCCTCTGCTAATTGATATGCTGATATACAAGAACAGGAACAAAAGTCAGAACAAAACATAAATAATTTACAGTTGCTTTGTATTCTTTTAATTTAACATAAAATATTTTAAATTTGAAAATATATTGAAAAATAGCTTAGCAACCATGTATATTTGTGTTTCAGATGGTATTAATGACCAAAACCACACAAACCCTAATAAAAGAAAAAAACCTAGAGAAATTGCTTGAGTAATCTCATGAATTTTCAACCAGTGAAATTATTTGAAGTGTTGCCCAGATGTTATTATCTGTCATATTATGTATTTAAATAGATGTTCTTCCAGGTGTATTGACAATGCTGCAATTTTTAAAAATTATAAATATTTATTTCTTAAAACCAAAAGACATTGGAGCAAATGAGAATAAAGCAACAGGTTGACCAGCTCTAATAATGCTTTTAGGCAACAGGATAGAGAAGGAACCATCCTCTTGTGTTTGTGATAAGGGGTCTGGATTGGAAGTAACCTTGCAAATCTCAAGTGGGCCTCTAATGGTTTTTTATTCAAGCTGTAATACAACATTTTGACAGGCCAAGGCTATCCTGGCATAGCAACGTGAAATAATGCTGGCCTGTATTTGCAGACATTGTTAGATGAAAACGGGAGGAGGAACCCAAATATAAATCTGAATCGCTTGACTAAACTCCTCCATTGTAGTTGTATCTTCAAGTGTAGCACCTGAGGTCACAGAGAGATGAAGGGAACTGAAATGCAATCTATGATTCAGTGCTTTAAAATCTGCATTTAAAAATGGTTCTAAGTTGTTTTTTTTGGTGTTTGTTCTACATTACATTTTTCAAAATCCAATCTGGTACCCCAGTGCAGAAGAATGTTGTCTAGATGTTATGGACAAAAGGTCATCAAACTGGTGTTCACAGCTCTGTGACCAAAGTGGTGACCACAGCAGTGGATTCCATCTTATTCTCTACATGGCTATCAAATGAAATTAAATACTACACCTACGACCAACAGATGATGAAAAACTACCTTGGCAAAAACTTACTTGTATTTTGTGCCATGATTTAAAAAAATGCCTAATCTTCTGACTAATTTGCTGGATAACTAGATTTCTTGAAAGGATAATAAGGGAAATGAATGCTTATAAAGTGTCATAATTTCTGGATCAACTATCAATCATTAAGTAGCAGTTTTCATATTAATTAATGTATATTTTCACTGAAACAAAAACAAATGTCACCAATAATGGAGATAAGGAAAGAAATCATTTAGCCAGCATATTCCTTTTGTTTATATAATAAAATACAAGAATACATAGCTGATCTTTTCCTTCAAGGACATAATGGGTATTTTAAAAGTGAAAACAGGAGCTCTTCTGAAAATGTGAAAAGCTTATAATGCATTATGAGAGGCAAATTTCAAATCCATCACTCCAAGAATAGTAACATTTAAGTAAACTCAGATTTTTGATGAATTCTTTAAAATCAGCTGCATTGCAAAGTGCATTATAAATAATTCTTATCTCATTATTATTTCCCACCTTTCTTGCACAGTTTATGAATTGATTGACTAAAGCTGCAATGATGTCACTACTTAATTTGACACTCACTGCATTTAAACAATTTAGGTAGCCACACTCAAACTCAGGGATTAATTTCCAGTTGACCTGATTTTTTCAGGGAAGAAAGATAAAACAGAACCTTGATCTGATTTTGAGTGGAGCTTTGGCTAGAACTACTCATTTAGAGAGGAGTGCACTGAGAAGATGCTAAGAATTTATGACTAATGGCTACTTCATTCACCATGTGACACTACTTTCTGATAACAGCTCATGACTTTAACATATCGAAAATAAGATAAATCCTATTGCTTTCACAAAAAAAGAAAAAGTAAATCTGAAGGATTTAAGCTACAGCTCTAATTATAGGTAGACAACAAAGGCTACATACAGCATAGCATGACTAAACAGCAAGCTGTACTGACATGAGAGTGATCACGTATGGGAGAAACCCAGGCACTGTTCTGTATCAGAACTTATGTTCGGTTTAACTCTATTATGCGATTTTACAATTATGGTTGCTCAAAATAATTTTGCAACTTAGTTTTACTGCAACTACTAAGTTAACGACTGCTTCTAAAAGAAATTAAAACATTTTCAAGTTTTCATGCCAACTGAAACGAGACAGGGCTAAAATAAGAAATTTTTTAAACAATATTTGGATAAAAATGAAAGTATTCTTGCATAATCCTTCCTTTACATTTCCCTTACATTTTCAATTGTCATTAACCCAGAGTTCTAGTATAAATTCAGATGGTAGATGTAGTTTTAATAAGAGAGGCTTTAGGGGCTACTCTTGACTAGGCAAGTGATTCTAGAACACAAAACGGTAACAAAGTGGATGCTCTTTCTTTTCATATTAAATATTAAATTTTTAAGGACATTATGTTTTGTAAATATTGATGGTACAGTATTCACAGCAGCAGAAAACAGTTTTTGAGCAGAACAGTTTCATTTTTAGGGTGATGCAGTTACTCACTTTCTTAATCTGAAGTCTGCCTGAGGCAAAACTCACTTAGGCAAAGGTCTCATGAATACTGCACCTCAGAGGGATCATTAGGACAATGTGAAACATATATTCAAAGCAACAAGAAGAAAACAAAAATGCAGAATGAAAACAACAGTGTATCATAGACATGTATAGAAATAAAACCATCTGTGTGAGCAGTGTTGTCTTTAATCTGCATTCCTTTTCTGTAGGTCACATTTTTATAGTGTTTAACTTCCTGCTTGTTATTTACACAGCATTTTTGAATTTCCCATGGCATTGTCTTTTATGGAGTCTTGTTTTAATATTGTCTACACTATGGTATTGTCTACACTACTACAGTTGGGAATTTTTGAAAGAGGGGAAAAAAAGCAAAACACTTACAATGAAAGTAAAGTTCTTCATCCCCTTCTTGATCCGCTTTGCTATAGCCACAATGCCTGTAAAGAAAGTAAACCGCTAGTTTTACTGGTAAATAATTATTTACTTCTCACGTCTAAAGTCCTGACAAAATCAGTTCTGCAGGCTGGGATTTTCAGGCACTGAGCACCTAACTGCTGTAGGCCCTTTGAAACTTTCACCTATAATTCTATTGACAGCAGAGTTTTAAATAAACCATGAACAGTTGCAATCAAAAGGCTTTTGTATCAAATGCCAGTCAGGACAGGTCCTAAAGAAAAAAAATTCTAGTTCTGGTGAAAAGCTTCGACAGATAAAACAGAGGATTAAAGAACTTGAAAGTAGAACACTGTTTTACATGAGGGTATTCTTAAACTTACTGCTGTGTCTCTTTTTCTTGAATGTAAAGTCATTTAAAGGCTGATCAGATAAAGTGTCAGATTTCTCCATGTGAGAAAACTGAACAGAAAGAGGGACTTTGAGGAGTACAGTTAAAGAACCTGCTATGGGTTCCTTTCACAGCACATTTACATAGGACAAAAAGAACATCTTGATTTAAGTATCTTGCCAAAGTAATAGGACAAACCATGTAATTGGTAAGGGAATTTAAATGAAATACGAAAAATTATTCATGTTTTAGTTTTGCAAGTTACTATCCCAGAACAGACTATGTCTCAAGAGTTCACAAGAGTGGGGGCAGATGTGCTAATGCCCATGAAAGATGCAATACCTTCGTCCGATGATGAAACCAAACACCATGAAGACCAGAATGATGGTTCCTGCCACAGCAACCACAGCTATGATAATAACAGGATTCTGTTC